TCATCCTCATCATCATCATCATCATCATCATCATCATCATCCTCATCATCATCATCATCATCATCGTCATCATCATGACCATTATCATCATCAGTACCGCCATCATCATTATCGGGAGCAGCAACATCATCAGCATTACCAGCGTCCTTATCATCAGCAGCAGAATAACCACCAGCAGCAGCAGCAAAACCATCTTCATCATCATCATCAACACCACCATCATCAGCAGCAGCATCACCACCACCACCACCACCAGAATCATCATCATCATCAGCAGCACCATCATCATCATCATCATCATCATCATCATCATCATCATCAATCATCATCGTCAGCAGCATCGGCATCAGCATCAAGCATCAGCATCAGCATCAGCAGCAGCATCATCAGCATCTTCATCATCAGCATCATCATCAGCAGCAGCATCGTCACGAATCAGCATCAACAACAGCAGCAACATCCTCGTCCTGACCATGACCTTCAACATTAACCATCTCCTGCTTCTTCCCGGCTACAACTACCACTACCCCTACCACTGCCATTACCACTGCTGCTGCTCTTGCTCTCCCTTCTCCCCACCCTTAGACTCCTCCTCTTCATCCTCCTCCTCATCTTCCTTCTCCGCCTCTTCCTCCTCCTCCTCCTCCTTCTACTCCTCCTCCTCCTCCTCGTGCTATTGCCCATCTTCCTCAGTATCCCCCCCCTCCTCATCCCCCTCCCCCTAGTCCCCGTGTGTCTCCGAGCTCCCAGGTGTACACGCCAGACGGACGACTGGCCCCCCCCCCCCCGCCCCTCGGAAAAGCACGGCTCCGTCGGCGGAGGCGGCCTCCTCCTCCTCGGAGTCGGACGCCCAGGAGGTGCTGGGGCTGGTAGCCTCGGCGCGGGGAGGAGGGGAGGGGAGGGCTGGGGCTGATAGCCTCGGCGCGGGGAGGAGGAGGGGCGGGGTCCACCGGGATGGCGGGGGGGGGGCGGCCCGCCCACGAAGCTCCGCCGTGCCCGGAGGCCTTGGGGCCGCATCGTCAGGGCGTCGGGCAGTGCCGTTGCCTCAGCCCTGGCCAGGCCGGGCGTGTGGGGCGAAGCGAGGCGAGCGCCGACCTGCGTCCAGAGGGACGGCCCGATGAGAGCATGGCGGCTGGGCCGCAGCCCAGGAGACACCTTGGCCCAGTTTGGAGGCGAGCGCACTTGGAGCTCCAAGCAGAGGAGGATGGACCGAAGACGAGGGCGAGCAGAGCACAGAAGGGGAGAGACCGAAGACGACGACGAGAAGAGTGGAGGGGGGCGGAGAGGGCGAAAAGAGGAGCTGGGGGCCCCCGCCCCTACCCCTCGCACGCCCGCTGCCGCTCCTGCCCCCGCCAGAACCGCCACGAGAGCCGCACAGACGACACGACGGGCGGAACGCCGGCAGGCAGACTCCGATCAGCTGGGCCATTGACTGCGGGGGGGCGACAGGGGAGCGACCAGCTCAGGGAAGAGCAGCGACTCGGAATCGGCGAGGCACGGACGATGGATGGGCGGAAGGACCTCGATGGCGAAACCACACACTCCTGGGCAGGTCGGGGCACCCAGGCCAGGATTGGCGCCGAACGGACGATTGTGGTCGATGCTGCCGCACCTGGGGCCAATCCTCCCTCTGTCGTGGCCCCTGATCGACCACCGAGAACCAATCTGACCCAGTACCCACAGCCTCGGACCGGCACTCCTGCGCCATGTCCACAACAGCACCCTCCTCCTCCTCCTCCTCCTCCTCCTCCTCCTCCTCCTCCTCGTCCTCCTCCTCCTCGTCCTCCTGCTCCTGCTCCTCCTCCTCCTCCTCCTCCTCCTCCTTCCTCCTCCTCCTCCTCCTCCTCCTCCTCCTCCTCCTCCTCCTCCTCCTCCTCCAGATCGACCAACCCGATAAAGGGCATCCTTCAGTGGCACAGGGCAGCAGCCGAGCGCAACAGCCACCGCCACGATCACCCGGCACCGGAACAGACACGCCGCCACTGGAAGGGACACGGGCAAGGTCGCGATTCCTTCCCAAGGGCAGCAGAAACTCGCCCTGGATTGGACTCGTCGTTGGGCAATAAGCGTCATGCGCCTCATCGCTGTCTGGTGCCCGCCTGTCCTCCTCCTCCTCCTCCTCCTCCTCCTCCTCCTCCTCCTCCTCCTCCTCCTCCTCCTCCTCCTCCTCCTCCTCCTCCTCCTCCTCCTCCTCTTCCTCCTCCCGTTTCCCATCCGTGTTTTTCCCACACGCTCCTGTTGCTCCTCACATCTTGCGACTGGCGGCGCTCGACCTTGAACGCCCGCAGCAGGGTCGCCGCCGCGTCGGCACGACGCGAAGCTGCTATGCGAAGCAAGCATGACCGTCTTCAGAAAAACGCACGGCAGCGTCTTGCCTCCACGATGCCGCTCCTGCTGCTGAGGGGAAGGGTGGGGTTGCACCAGCCGCCCCCCCCCCCCACGGGCGAGGCCACCGCGGCGCCTTGCAGCTCTTCACGGTGTCCGCCGCATTTCTGGAGGCCTGCGCGACGCAGCCTCCTCCGCCTGCTGAATTGCCGACACGTGTGCTTCGTGATGCAACATATCCATACATATGACTAATAATATTAATAATGATAATATTAATGATGATAAGAATAATAATAATAATAATAATAATAAATAAATAAATAATAATAATAATAATAATAATAATAATAATAATAATAATAATAATAATAATAATAATAGTAATAATAATAATAATGAAAATAATAATGAGAATACTAATAATAATAATGATAATAAAAATAAAAATTATAACAATAATAGTACTAATAATAATAACATTAATAATAAGAATAATAATAATAATACAATCTATATATATATATATATATATATATATATATAGAGAAGCACGTATTAACAATATGTTGGTGTAGATACATGTATATAAAGAAAAAACTAAGACTGCTCGCTCTTATCTGCTCGAGGGTCCGTTAACGCGAATTTCCCAATCCTCGATACCCGCCCTCTTCGTTTTCGATCGTACCGCTTTTGGGGGGTAAACCTTTCTTCCCTGCAGGCTGGGCCCCGGCAAGCGGCGGGGCGTCCGCGGACCGTCGGCCTGGCCAACGGCAGCGCTGATCGGCGGCAACCCGACCCCAAGAGGGACGGACAGGGGACCGACCTCGACGACGACAACGACGACGACGGCGTCGACGACGACGACGACGTCGACGACGACGACGACGACGACAACGACGACAACGACGACGACGACGACGGCGACGACGACGACGACGAGCGAAAGCGAGAGCGAGAGAGAGAACGACAGCGGGGCCACAAAGGTCACGAAGTAGGCCACGAAGGGCGACAGCGGGGACACGAAGGGAATGAGTATGGGGCCACGAAGAGCGCGAACGAGCGGGGGCCACGAAGGACAAATAATGCGGGGCCAAAGAAGGCAACGATGGGGCCACTGAGGGTAGCAACTGGGCCACGTAGGACAGCGAGGGGGCCACGAAGGGCGACAGCGGGGCCACGAAGGGCATGCACATGGGGCCACGACGGGCGCGAACGAGCGGGGGGACACGAAGGGCATACGTATATTGGGCCGCGGAGGGCAAAGACGGGGCCACTGAGGGCAGCCACGGGGCCACGAAGGGCAGCGAGGGGGCCACAAAGGGCGACAGCGGGGCCACGAAGGGCATGCCTATGGGGCCACGACGGGCGCGAACGAGCGGGGGCCACGAAAGGCACACATATATGGGGCCACGAAGGGCAGCGAGGAGGCCACGAAGGGCTGCAACGGGGCCACGAAGGGCTGCGACGGGCCACGAAGGGCAGCGAGGGGGCCACGAAGGGCTTCAACGGGGCCACGAAACAAACCGAGGGGGCACGAAGGGCTGCAACGGGGCCACGAAGGGCAGCGAGGAGGACACGAGGGGCTGCAACGGGGCCACGAAGGGCAGCAAGGGGGCCACGAAGGGCTGCAACGGGGCTACGAAACAAAGCGAGGGGGCCACGAAGGGCTGTAACGGGGCCACGAAGGGCAGCGAGATTCCGATTCCTAGGTAATCTGTGAGGGAGTCCTAAGCGTGAGCGCGACTCCTGGGTGCCTGGGTGTTGGGAGCGCGGCGCTTGAGTAAATTGCGGGAAATTCCAACGCAAGGGCGCTATTCGGTAAATTGCAAGCAAGTCTCCAGCGAGAGCGCGACTCCAAAGCGCCGGGAGAGCGATTCCTAAATAAACGGTCAGGGAGTCCTAAGCGGGAGCGCGATTCCTGAATTAAATGCGAGGAAGTCTCGGGCGGGAGCGGGGGTCCTGGCTAAATCGTGAGGAAGTCTCAGGCGGGAGCCGTTGTTGTTGTAATCCGAGGGGCCGGGGACACAGTTTGAGCCTCAAGACTTTCCCTGATAAAAAAAACTTGTGGGGCACACTTTGATTGAGAACAAAACAATATGCCCGGGTGGGGGGGGGATCAAAAATAATTATTCTTCAGAAATGAAAATTCAACAGCAACAACAACAACAACAACAACAACAGCAACAACAACAACAACAACAACAACAACAACAACAACAACAACAACAACAGCAACAGCAACAGCAACAACAACAACAACAAAAGAGATATATATATAGAGAGAGAGAGAGAGAGCGTTGTGTAGGCGCTTGTAGGGGGGGGGTCGGAACCGAGACTCCCCCTGGACTCAACGGGCGGGAGGTTCAAACCCCCCCTCCCCTTCAACGGGGTGAATTCGAACTCCCCCCCCCTCCCGGGAACGGCGCCAGCGCCAGCGGCGGCCGGCGGCAGCAGCGGCGACGGGGAGCGGCGACGACGACGACCACGACGACGACGACTGCGAAAAGCGACAGAGACGGCGACGACGACAACGACTACGGCGACGACGACGACAACGACGGCGACGACGACGAAGACGACAACGACGACGAGGACAACGGCGACGACGACGACGACGACGACGCGACGACAACGATGACGCCGACGACGACGACGACGACGACGACGACGACGACGAGCACGACGATGACGACGACGAGGACAACGGCGACGACGACGAGCACGACGATGACGACGACGAGGACAACGGCGACGACGACGACGACGACGACGACGCCGACGACGCCGACGGCAACGACGACGATGACAAGCATGACGATGAGGCGACAACGACGGCGACGACTACGACGTCGACGACGACGAGGACAACAGCGACGACGACGACGACGGCGACGACGACGGCGGCGACGACGAGCACGACGATGACGACGGCGACGACGACGAAGACGACGACGACGAAAACGGCGGCGACGACGGCGACGATGCCGACGACGACGATGACGACGACGACGACGAAGACGGCAACGACGACGACGACGACGACGACGGCGACGATGACGACGACGACGACGACGGCGACAACGATAACGACGACGACAACGACGACGAGCACGACGACGACGAAGACGACTGCGACGACGGCGACGACGACGGCGGCGACGACCATTACGACGACGACAAGCACAATGACGACGACGGCGACAAACGAAGACAACGACGACGACGACAGTGACGGTGTCGACAGCGACGACAGCGACGACGACGACGACGACGACGACGACCGACGGCGATAACAACGACGACGACGACGACGACGACAACGACGTCGACGACGACGACGTCGACGACGACGACGACAACGATGACAAAGCCGACGACGACGACGACGACGACGACGGCGACCACGACAACGACGACGACGGCGAGAGCGTCGACGGCGACGACAGCGACGACGACGACGACGACCGACCGACGGCGACAACAACGACGACGACTGCGACGACGGCGACGACGACGGCGGCGACGACCATTACGACGACGAAAAGCACAATGACGACGACGGCGACAAACGAAGACAACGACGACGACGACAATGAGGGTGTCGACAGCGACGACAGCGACGACGACGACGACGACGACGACGACGACGACCGACGGCGATAACGACGACGACGACGACGACGATGACGTCGACGACGACGACGTCGACGACGACGACGACGACGACAACGATGACAAAGCCGACGACGACGACGACGACGACGACGGCGACCACGACAACGACGACGACGGCGAGAGCGTCGACGGCGACGACAGCGACGACGACGACGACGACCGACCGACGGCGACAACAACGACGACGCCGACGACGACGGCGACGGTGACGATGACGACATATAAATTTACATGCACATATACATACACATATACATCTAAGCTGACACATGCATATACACATACGTAAAAGGCAGAAACACACATACACATTGAAATATGCATAATGTGCAAAACGCGTGGAGTTCCTAAAGCCTCTGGAGACCCACCCACCCGACCCCCACACCGCCCCCACGGCGGTCAGGGGAAGGAAAGGGAAAAGCTAGGGACGAGCAGGCGAAGCCTGTACAAGAAAGGGCGTGCCGAGGCGAAGCCTGTGCAGAATAGGAAACAACAGCAAGCGCCACTCACGATTATCACGATAATCAGCTTCATTTTTCAACAGACCACGAGATGACCAAAGCCATATCTCCTGCCGAGTTCCAGTTCAGACGCGTCGCAAACTCGCTTCCAATTAAACTCCCTCGGCCGAGGGTCTCCACTGCACTTGACCTCATCCGATTCATCAAGGGAAAATCCCTTGAACTCCAAAGGGCGGGATCGGGTGGGCCCGACAAGCGATGGAAGCACGCTTGCAGTTGGGGAGCAAAGCTGGACCAACACTACACATTAATACCCGCTCGAAGACTCTCACTTCATCATATTGTACAAAACGCGTTGAGTTCCTAAAGCTCCTGGAGACCCACCCACCCGACCCCCGCACCGCCCCCACGGCGGTCAGGGGAAGGAAAGGGAAAAGCTAGGGACGAGCAGGCGAAGCCTGTACAAGAAAGGGCGTGCCAAGGCGAAGCCTGTGCAGAACAGGAAACAACAGCAAGCGTCACTCACGATTATCACGATAATCAGCTTCATTTTTCAACAGACCACGAGATGACCAAAGCCATATCTCCTGCCGAGTTCCAGTTCAGACGCGTCGCAAACTCGCTTCCAATTAAACTCCCTCGGCCGAGGGTCTCCACTGCACTTGACCTCATCCGATTCATCGAGGGAAAACTGAACTCCAAACCGTATACTGAACGCAAGCTCTGAGATAATGCCAAACCCCGGTATCCGACCTGACCTCTCATATGGCTTTGTCACCGTGGAAACTCAGAGCCAAACACCGCTTGCGTACCACAGCCAATCGAGCTGAGTGTGGGCCCACCGGCCGAGACGGAACCAAAGGGGAGGGCGCGCGGTGGGAAGCTGGAGCACCTCGTGCGCGGTCAAGGGGGTCCGCAGCACAGAGGCATCAACTGCCGACTCGATCGCATCTTTGACCCTGGTCGTGATGCGCTCCAGCTCACTTCCTGGATCGGCCCCTGTTAAGGCCCACAACGGGTTAGCCCACTGAAGTTC